GACTAGAGCCCCTGCATCATATCCAGACTCACATAGTCTAATATCCCATATTTTACAGATATTCCAATCTTTTGCCTTTTTACCTTGTTTTCTGAAGGTTATTTTTACAGGCTTACAGAGGTGTGGGACAGGTCCTGGGCAAATTATGCCACAATGGTATCAGATTTAGGATCAGTGGGGACACTATTAGGTTTTTGGTGGAGTGAGATGAGGTCTGTTGTGACTGGGGCCTTCTACCACATGTGTTCAGTAGACTCATGCTGTGGCATGGTCTGTATGTCAAATGTGTTGCTGATTGGTCAATGAATAAATCACTGATTGGTCAGTGGCCAGGCAGGAAGTATAGGTGGGACTAACAGAGAGGAGAATAGAGCTGGGAAGGAAGGCTGAGTCAGAGAGGCATTGCCAGCCGCCACCATGACAAGCCGCATGTGAAGATGCCGGTAAGCCACGAGCCATGTGGCAAGGTATAGATTTATGGAAATGGATTAATTTAAGCTGTAAGAACAGTTAGCAAGAAGCCTGCCACAGCCATACAGTTTGCAACCAATATAAGTCTCTGTGTTTACTTGGTTGGGTCTGAGTGGCTGTGGGACTGGCGGGTGAGAGAGTTTGTCCTGACTGTGGGCCAGGCAGGAAAACATTAGCTACAGACTCACAACTCCAAACCTTACAAAGTTAGTCAGATGGGCCCCCAATTTGTTAGCTCTTAATTTTTCCCAGCCTAGACAGACATAAAAACATGCCCTCCTTAAATGATCAGTTGCCCATATAGTTGTACACCAAATATCCCAGGCTTATCTTTCCAGTGAGGGCCTGCTATTTTACAAATGTCAAAAACAATGTCAGGAAACCATATCCCCAGTTGGATGGCTTTAGAGATCTGCTTGACCAGGTGTCCATGGGTGTCTAAAACCTGCCAAGTGAGATTTAGGCATTGATGTGGGCTACTAACGGCCCCATCTGATGTTAGGAGGGCAAGGAACAAAGCAGGTATCAATATGGCCATCGGGAGATCTGACCTTCAGTTTAAGTCTCAGGAGGCTGTCAGGATCAAGTTTTGCCATCCAATTCCAGCAGGGTCTGCTGCCTCCTGATGATCTCAGTGGCTCCTTCAACTCTGGATCAGATACATGGACATGGGAGTGTGGATCCAGTTGGCAATTCCATCAACTTTGATGGCAGTGGCTGTGGTCAGAATCACAGTGTAGGGTACCTTCCAGTGAGGCTCTAGGGTTCTGTGCTGATGTCTGCGGACAAGACCCAATCTCTGGGCTGGAACTGGTGCAAAGTGGGTGGAGGGGCTTTTTCACCCATCTCTTGTAATCAAGGGCAGATATCTTTGAATACTGAGGCTGCTGCATTTAGGGAGGCAAACAAGTTAGCATCATTAAACTCAGTGATCAGTTTTGACCACAAATTGGCAACTATGAGAGAGAGAGTCTACCGAACAGGATCTCAAATGATGTGAGTCCAAGTGTATACAGAGAGTTTTGCACTTGATACAGGGCAAAAGGAAGGAGAGACACTCAATCTCTGCCAGTCTCCATGACTGACAATTTGGTAAGGGTCTCTTTTAGCACCTGATTCATATGCTCTACTTGTCCAAACTTTGCAGCCTGTAAGCACAATGTATTTCCAAACCACCCTCAAAAGCTTAACTAAGCTTTGAATTACCTAGGCAGCAAATGTGGGTCCCTTATCTGAGTCTAGCGATTCAGGCATTCCATACATGGGGATAATGTCATCTAGAAGCTTTTTGACCACCATCTGGGCCTTCTTGTGCTTGGCAGGGAAGACTTTTACCCATTCTGAAAAGTATCTATAAAAACTAATAGATATTTATAGCCATATTTTCCAGGCTTTACCTCAGTGAAGCCAGTCTCTCAATGAGACCCTAGGTGGTCCCCTCTCAGCCACACTCTGTGCTGCCTCTGGTGGGTTTGGGGTTAGTTAGCCAGCAGGCCAGCCTTTTAGAGGATATCTCTTCCACCTTGAGATGAGATTGTCTCCCAGGTACCCAAGCCATTCCGCCAGTGCATTCACTTAGATTTTATGCGGGCTTCACAGACGAAACTCCAACAGCTAGAATCAGCCAGACACAAAAACCAGAAACTGAAAGGAGAGCTTGCCTGTGCAAATTAGAAAATTACCTGATAGTAGGCACTGTAAGACTGAATGGCAGGTGGTTGTGGTAGGTTTGGGGAATCTCAGTGGAACTTCCAAAATGTTGTGCCCAGAGACCAAAATCCCAAAGACCACCAAGTGACCAGATCTGATGCAAAAGCAAAGAATCTTTTATTGCAAGTTAACTTGGGCCTCTCCCTCTGTCTGTCACAGCAGTGGAGCAGGAGAGAACCCAAGTAGCAATGGAGCAGGGTATTTATAGGTAAAGCAAGGGGGTCTGGGGGCCTATGGGCTGCATAGGAACAGACTCAGAATTGGTGTAACTCCCAGTCAGAGGTGCTGTCCTTGGCTTAATTGGTCAGTTGCAGCTGCAGGGAAGTTATTTTTCTCTTATAGCAGTTGCTGTGGTTACTACATTTTATCTTTATTATGATCCTGCTATTTGTAATTTTAACTTTTTTATCATGTGGGGACATCTGGTGGGGGAATTTTAGCAAATAGAGCTAGGCCCAAGGTCAGTGACTCAAGGGCACATCTTGCTGAGCCCAGGGCCTACACCCTGCTAGGTCTTTTCCACAGCCTATCATGGTTGCAGAATGGCCAAGCCAGGGGTCTAGGCAAGGGTCTGGGTTCCTCAGGTGAAAGTTTTGAACTGCTTCCTTCAGCTTGTCCTCTGACCTCCAAACACACAGTGGCATGTTTACCCACAGACAGACGGTCACAAACATACACAACTAAAGAGAATTTAGAATGCTGTATCAGACTTCTTTCAAATGTACAAAAGAGTGTAGCATCTTATATATATTTAAAAGATATGCTACATTGATTTAGCATTCACTCCATTGTAATTCCAGTACTTGGGAAAGATAGGTAGGAGTATTGGAGTTCCAGGTTATCCTGTCTCCACACTAAATTCAAGGTCTACATAGTTGGAGGCCAGCCTGGTCTACATGAACCCAAAAAACACAAATCCAAACAAGAGCAAACCAGAAACCAAAATAACAACAAATTATCTTTCTCCAGGTGCAATCATGGTTTAATGTGCTATGTATAATTTCACCTTTGCTTTCCATAGGGGTTCACAACACTCATCCATTTGCTTGTGCCATACAGCATGGTCAAGTGTCCTGATCATGAGAACTGATAACCAGAATCCCACCCTCAGAATTCTACTATGCAAATCTAACATAAGACGTGGGTTATGGGAATTCTTCTGAGGCTGTCAACATACAGTGTGCCTGGGCTGGACTCTCCGGCTGACTGGATAGACCATTTTTCTCCTCCTGGATTTTGAATGCCATTTATGTACTTGCTAAACTATCTTTTTCTCCCACCAGGCTCAGCCACCCCTTGAAAACTGGCTGTAGGAGTCACCTTTGCCCAGAGCCCCCAAGCTTGCTTCATCCCACACCCACAGTGTGAATATGGAGTGTGAACATAGAGTGAATGCTCACCCTCTGACTATCTGGGAACCCTAGTAAAGGCTCTGTTCCATCCCTGCAAGGCCCCAAAGTTGCTTGTCTTCAGAGTTTGTGTCAGGGTGCCTACACTCCCATGTGGCCAGAGACAAGACAAAGAGCCCCAACTTCGCTTATGGTTTAGGCACTGTGAGGATGCTACAGGGCATGTCCTGGGTCAGTTTTCTCCCATCCTGCTAGAAAGCACAAAGCACAGGTCTTGGTTTCTTGCCCCAACATTCAATATTCATATGGGCCTCTGGCTTGGGCAGTGCAGAGACTGAAGTTTGGATACTTTGTAGCTATACCTTACAGCCAGGGGCACCGGTTGCGGAAAAACACAAAAGTAAGCACACGGGGGTGGGGTGGAAGGTGGGAGGTGGGGCGTGGGGGGTGGGAAGAGCATGTCAGCCAGGAGTTGGCGGAAGAGCACACAGTGGGAGGGTGTTGTGGGAAGGCGTCTCCGGTGTGTGGGTGGGTGGTGGTGTCCGGAAAGCCAGGTGGGCTGTGGGGCTGAGCACCGCGCCGTTCTGTTTCGACTTCTGGTGTTTGGAGTCCAGCATTTGCCAGCCTCTTCCTGAAAAAGAACAGTGTTTTGAAAAGGTACGTGGCACCGTGTTGCTGGCCCTGTGGTTCCAGCCTGGGTGGGGGGATTCAGAGAGCCTTTTTCTTCCTCAGATAAGGGTCTCATCAGGAATGGACCTTGGTCCCAGCCAGCAGGGAGTTAGAGTACTGGACAAAACGGGAGTCCTAAGATAGCTTTCTTCCTCATCTACAAGAGCCTTGAACTTTCTGTTGGGAGCTGTTGAGGCACATGATGGAGACCCCAGTGTGCACAGAAACCAGTTGCAGGGAGGTTCTTGGTAGCAAGCCCAGTAAGCTGACTTCAAGGCACAGCCAGTACTCATTCTCACTCGTGCCCCGTGTTCCACAGAAATGGGATCTCTGGGATTAGGTTTTATACCTGAAAAATGTATCATCAACATGCTGTGCCAATGCCCTAAGGTGGGAGCTCTTAGAGCTTGTGAATTCACTGACAAATCGTTGTATTTTCTCCCTTAGTGGGTTCCTTCTGTTTTCAAATGCTCCAGGATCCAGCATTTCATCCTGGAAGTCTGTGCCCTTGACTCTGTGAAAGGAGCAACTGCCTGTGGTTAGATGAGTGCCTTGTTACCCATGTGGCAGATGCCAGCAAGGGTCTCTGGAAAACTCTGGGGCCACAGCAAAGAGCAAAGAGAAACTTGATCATAGTTTATATCAGAGCCTGGAGCATAGTAAGGAAAAAGAGATGCAAGGATCAGTCCAGGGAGAAGGGTCACGGCTCCAAAAGGTGAGATTGGATGGTTGTGCCCTGCTCAATGGTCTGTGCACAGCTGCCTTCCTTAGGGACACAGTTATTTGGGTGAATTAGAAGAAGGATGTGTGAGACACCCTAGTTTTTCTCAGGTGGGTTATTCTACCTTGGAAGTGATAAAGTCTCGGGCTCATATAACACCTGCCTCCTGGAATTGGTCTGAAGAATCGTGGATGGAACACAGTTGGTATCGATGTTATTCTGAACGTTCTGTGTTGACAGAGTTCCTCCTGCAGGATGGAGAACTTCCTGAGGCTGCTGAGGGAGCATGGGGACACCCCCTCTCCCCCACAAGAGCTGGTGACTCTCGCAGGCAAGCTATGCCGGGACTTCCAACACAACCTTGTTCAAGTGCTATCTTTGGTGGAAGCCATTCTGGACAGCCGGCATCGTTGGCATCTTCTAGAAAATGCGGATGTGGCACTGGTGTGCACCCAGGTCCTGATCCAGCAGGGGCAGCAGTTTTCAGCCCTCCAGATACTAGAGGTATGATAGAGAGTAGTAGGGACACAGCAGCCTCCACCATCCCCAAGATGTCATAAGCTCAGGCAGGATGGCCCACTCTCACTTGACCAAGACATTCCTTGGTGACCTTGACAAATACCATTTAGAAAATCCTTATTGGATGGTGATCCTATGCCTGGTGGTGAGCAAATGTGTTGATGTGATGCTGTGTAGCACCTTTGACATAGACACCTAGATATCTGGCATGAAGCGTTGATAAAATGGTGCATAGCAGTAATCTCAGCACTCAGGAGGCTGAGGAAAGGCAATGGCGAGTTGTGGACCAGCCTGTGTCAAAATGATAACACAAAACCATCCAGAAAAAAATGAGATCAACAAACAGGGAGCACATAGTTGGAACTGAGGTGACTAATCAGTAACAATTAGTGTCATTGGTGATTAGAAACTCTGGAGTGGGACTAGGAACTCATTTAGGGAGTTATTGCCCAGAGCCAGGTAAGGAGAACTAGCACATGGTGAACTGCTATGCTCTCTGTACTTGTATGATTCATTGGATGACTGGGTTTACTTATTTATTTGGAGGGCTGAAGGGTTTAAGATCAGAAACCAGACCCTAGATCTGTTTGTTGCTGGCATAAATGTCTACCATGGCCTCTGAGGTAACTGGCTGGCCCAGGGTCACACTTCCTCAGGGACTAGTAGGAATTGGAGGGCTTGTAGGTTTGGCTAACATTAGTGGTTTGTTGAGCAGTGGGTTCAAGTATAGATGACTGCCTTTCCCATAGGCTGGGTTGGTGTGGTTGACAGATTTCCACACTCTCCAGGGCCTATAGGGGTGACTGGGTTTCAGCAGGCTTTCCCTACAGGGGTGTCGGGTGCCAGGAGGCAGCAAGGAGCTGATACAACTCTGGAATGACATTCACTACCACCTGACCATGAAGAAGCTGGGTGTCACCATGTTGAGCCCAGTGCAGAAGTTTCGCTGCAGGAAGAGGTACTTGCTAATTCTCCTCTGTTCTGGATCCTTGGGTCTTCGAGGAGCTAGATGTGTCATCCAAAACCCAACTATTGGTGAAATTATTAAGGCCATTCCACGTAGTTAAAAGAGAGGTTTATTTTGTGGAGTAACTTACAAGTGAATGGATAGTTTACAGAGTCTGGGAAAGGCGTGGCACAGTCCGGCGGTGTTCTCTGGAGAACTCTGCTCAGTCTACCTCCAGCGTCCAGGGTCCAGGAACCAAGAGAGCCGTCTCATCTGGATCTCGGGTCTTCAGGGTCCTCTCTTGGCCCCGCCTTGTAGGCGTGACAGTTACCGAAGCCTCAATGGAGGTTAGAACTTCCAGATCAAAGCTGGAATGGCTACCCACTACACCCAACAGAGCTGAGGAAACAAGGATAGGAAGTCGCCTTAGCAGTATTTATTGAAATGTAATGAACATCGTGACTGCAACCCCTGTGTGCCCATCACCAAGCCTGACAGCACAGTGCTGTGGTGGCTGGAAGTGGATTGCTGTGTGCACCTTGACACATCCTGACTGTTTGTACTTCCCGTCATCACTAGACAAGAAGCCTGTGGATGAGAATAGTGAGTGTGAAGGGCAACTGAGTTTTGCTCAACTGTTTCTCAGATCATCTATTCCCCACATCTAGGTGCCAGGCTAGACATGGGGCAGGGGGCTGCAGGATGAGAAAGTTATCAATATTAGTCTCATCTTTATCATTTATGGAGGAGAAATCTTGCATGAAATAGTCAAGTCCCATGCCTGAGGAGTTTCATGGGAGATACAAGGTCAGGGATGCCTAGACACTGAGATTGTGGAGCTTTTGTTCTTCATCTGGGGCCTCTCAGTGGAGAAGGAGGGCTGCAGGCTTCCCTTTGCTGCTCCAAGTAATCTGGGCTTTCTGAGTCACAGGGTCCACTCACTGTAGGAAGAACAGAGTTTTTTGGGTTTTGTTTTTTGTTTTATTTTATTGTTAATTAGAATCTAAAAAATATTGACAGTATGAGATAAGTCCTTGGAAGCTCAGTAGGTAATCAGTCATTGGAGACAGACAATCAACCTCAGGAGCATGTGAGCAGTGACCAGAACATGGATATGCTGCGAATATGCTGGTCAGCACTGCAGTGTCTTGGAGATCAGCTATGGTCCAGAGCTGAAGTATAAGAAGGAGGTGCTCTCTGTTGATTAGGAACTGCCCAGAGCAGGGTAGTTCATTCTGGATGTGCTTGGCCTGGTGGAGGCTCTGGAGTCCTAGGTGGATTGCATTTGGGATGTGTTAGATGAGATACTCTTGGGCTGTGCACACATGCCATACATCTGGATATCATCTCTTCCACAGATAGGTGACATTTATACATGTCCTATGTCCTTTATGAAGAAATTCAAAGAAAGATCAGGAAAATCAGCCTAGACATAAGAGAAAGATAGCTACAGGGTCCCCTCAGTGACTCAGAAATCCCCATGCAGTGCCAAGAGAAGAAGGAAGAAATAATGATGGTCCTCCTGCATGGTGCAGGAGCTTCTGCACACAGAGCATAAAAGGGGAAGTGTGGCGGGAGGATGAGAATGGAGGATACAAGGGGCTAGGAAGCTGAGTTCAGGGGATGAGTGAGAGAGGGCCAAGGGGAAGCCAGCATCAGTATATGGAAGGTTCTTATTCTCTGAGAAGTTATGCTGTGAAGGAGTGAGCCAGGAGAGGCAGATAGACGGATTCATGTATAAGGTGAGAGAGTCCCAGCTTTAAGAGCTCATGGGGATGACCCTGAAGAAGAAATGCTGGAAGAAATTTGTTAAACCTGCTGTAAACAGGGCAGTACAGGGAGTCAGTGTTCCTGCTGAGCTGAGCTCTGGGGTATCCTGTTCTCACTGGAGGACTGCAGAGTGTGGTAGACAACCAAGTGGCCTCCCAGAAAGTAGGAATTAGGCATTTTGAGGTGACTTGGAATGGGAGGCAGGGGTGGACTGGAGAATGCATCTCAGAACCCCTTCCCTGTGAAGTGCCAGGACCTAAGAAGGGAGCAGGTGGAGCTTACGTTGTAATCCCTCCTGGCCCTCCTTATCCAGGAACCCCCCACCTCTTACCCTCTGCCCTGAGGGCCCCAAGAGCCGGAACTTCCTCCCAGAGATCCGCTGCCAACTGCAGAAATTTGCCACAGGTGTGAGCACTTATCCCAAGAAGGCCCAGTTGGTAAGGACAACAGCCCACTCCAAGTGGCTTCTCTGCCACACTCCAGAAGCTTTCCTTCATCCAATAACTACGTCTCCTCACCTCCTCCTGAGTAACTCTCTTCTCTCCCCAGGCAGCTTTTCCTACTTCTCTCCAGCTGACTTCCCTTCTATCTTCCCTGAGGTACTCTTGTCCTTCTCCTAGGCAGGACCTTCTTCTTTCAGGTGGCCCCCTCCACTATGGAGCTCCTTTAGCTGTCTTTGTTTCTTTCTCCTCAGCTCAGTGGGATCCCCAGCCCTCTCCCAGGGTGCTGGTGGACTCCACCTTTTCCTGACCTCTTTTTTTTGCCAAGCTTGGTTTTCTCATGGGGGTTGCCTAGTTCTCACCCTGGTTCATTCTCAGATGCTCCCCAGTCCTGTGCTCTGTGACCCCAAGTGAAGGTCACAACGGGGCAAGGAGGATGGCTCCCGGTTGAGAGCAGTGCAGGCACTGATTCATGGTAGCATCAATCTAGCCCTTTTCCTGTCTTAGGGTCTTGGGTCTTAGAGCTTCAGCTGACCTAGAAAGGAGTGGGTGCAGGAGGTGGGGCATGTGTGTATTGCTCTCTACTTCTTCAGCATGTGCTAAGTAGACAATCTGTTTCCAGTGTACCAGTGTACCATCTCTGCCACCATTCCAGGGGTAAGGCTGGGCTGTGCTTCCTTAGTGAATATGAGCTGTCCCAGTCACCTCTGTGCACCCTTGTAACTCAAGGATGATTGTCTTATTTGGGGATCAGAAGGAACTGGCTTTGGAGACCGGCTTGACTCCTGAGCAAGTGTACAACTGGTTCGCCAATTATCGGCGACGTCAGAAGGCTTGTGTCCTGCGCATTGAAAATCAGGAGGCCACATCAGAAGTCTCCAGTGCAAATGAGAGTGGTCCTGAAGCACTGCCACTTTCAGAACACCACCACGAGTCTCCAACTGTGTCTCAGCGGTCAGGTGAGCAGCCCAAGGGCTTCTTGAGGGCTGATTTTTATAAGATCTAGCTGACTCGGGATTGACCATGGCATGGCTGTGGGTGTCTGAAGGTGGGGATTGACACAGTGAGGAGGGGACAATGAGTAGATCTGGGAAGTGAATCAATCTCCAGGTTTGGAATTGTTGGTTTGTACTGAAGTCAGACCAAGGGACAAGCTACTGTGGAGCTGCTCTCAGCTGGGAAGGAGGCTAAGACCCACTGCACCCCTCTCTCTGCTCTACTTTTAGCTGGATATGAAGGAAGTGGGACTCTACAGTCCCCAGAGACCACCCAAGAATCACATGGATTGCAGTCCTTGGCTGTGAACTTTTCTGAAGACAGCACAACCTCACAGTCATGGCTTTCAGGTAGTGCCATCAACTCAGTCCATGGGACATGTTTCCTCTTTGGCCCCATCCTTCTTTGGGTGGAGAGAAGAGTATAATTTAACCTTAACCTTAGTCCTTTGTGTGCTGGGTCTTGACATTGTGGATTGATTTTGTATTCTTTTTTTTCTGACTATTTGGTCAGGCTTTTATTTCATGGAGTGGGCAGCAGCTGGTATGTTTCTCACGGCCTGATCTTCTCCGTGCACTTTGCTCCCTGTGGCAAGGCACGAACCTTCTGCATACATCCCAACATTGATCAGTCATGAGAGCAGTGCCAGGCTGGACACTGGCCAGGGGTATGCCTAGGTGACGGTTCATGTGACCTCTCTTCTATGAAATGGGGGTGTGATAGGGCCTGCCACACAGGCTGTCACAGAGATTGAGGGGATATTGAACAAAAGCTCTGTTCATGTTTGAGGCACATTAGCACTGATGGAATTTTCATTAGATTATTGTCAGCTTCTGCCTGATGTTCCTTTAATACTAACCATCATTTATTCACTTAATATTAAGGTCTTGTCAATCATTTTCTGTTTTGGAGTTCCATGCAGTAGACTTTATATTTATATAAAGATAAGCACGTCAGAGCCCAGACTTGGAAGCCACAGGGATGAGCAGGCAGGGTGATTCGTGATGTGCCAAGTTCCACAGCTTTGTCTGCCACATTCCACATTTCCAACATTAGATGGCATCACCTCCCAACTCCTCCCTCCCAGCCCTGGCCTCTACCCACCAAAGGCACATTGTTTGGTTATGTTCCCCAGGTCACTCTATGGATGTGAGGGGTACCAGGAGGAGCTAAGTTGCCATCCTGTCAGCCTCACCTCCTCATGTCCTGCCCCTGGCCTCTGTTCCCTGGCTACTAGCAGCAACATGCTTGATTCCTCTATGTCTGCCCCTGAGTCAAGGATGATGTCCCTTGCACTGTCATCTTCCAAGGAAGTTTTCCTCTACACGGGGCAAATGGACCATAAAAACCAGCTGGATTCTGGGATGGGTCCTGAAGATGCCACCATGGCCAGGGCCTTTGCTACCCTTAGCAATCCCAGCCATGCAGGTGGGTCCACCTTGCACAAAAACGAGATTCTGGTCTATCCCCCACAACTACTCATGTCCTCAGGTCCTTAGGCTCTGTGTTGGGGAGGAAGTGTGGATATGACCACCGTCTGCTTGATTCTTTAATGTTCAGTGAAACCCAGAACTGCTGGAGCAGGAACAGACTCTTCCCACAAATTATCCAGATTATTTCTCATTTATGTCTATGAGTAAAAAAATGAATGAAAAACAAGACAATTAGGAAAGAGTTAAACTGGGAGACAGTAGTTATGTCCATATGTCAAACTGTCCCCACCCCCCAAACTGTCCTTTCTAATGCATGAGTACCCACCCCTTTCTGTCCTGCACATCACTCTAGGGTAGAAATGTCAGTAGTTTGATTTTCAGTTATCACTGTAGTTGTAAGTGCCTTTAAATTGCATTTTTGTGTGTATAACACAACAGAGTTATGCAACTTTCCATCTTCCAAGGCCCTGTTGACTTGCCTTGTGTTTCTTAGCATTCCCTGAACATAATGCATCCTTTTTTTCTTGCAGCTTCTAATTGCCTCTTTAAAAAATACATTTTTTTAAAAAATGTACTTCCTCTAGCAAGCCCCTGTCACCTAAAGGTTCCATACCACCCCCTTCAAAGCTCCACCAAAAGTGGACTAAGTTTTCAAATACCTGAGCTATGGGACACAGTTCTCATCCAAAGCATCACAAGCTCTATATTTTAAAAAGTATCTCTCTTTCTCTGTCTCTATCTGTTATTTTACATATCAACCACAGTTTCCCCTCCCTCCTCTCTTCCTGTTCCCTTCCTCCACTTTCTGTATACCCTCCTCATTCACTCCTCCTCCATCTCCATTCAGAAAGGGGTAGGCCTCCCCCATGGGCATCATCAGCATGGCATATCAAGTTGAGGCAGGACCAAGCTTCTCCCCACTGCATCAAGGCTGAGCAAGGCATCCCACCATAAGTTCCAAAAAGCCAGCATATGCACCAGGGGCAGGTCCTGATCCCACTGCTAGGGCCCCCACAGACAGATCAAGCTACAGAACTGTCACCCGCATGCAGAGGGCCTAGGTCAGTCCCATGGAGGCTCCCTAGCTGCTGGTCCAGAGTCTGTGAGCTCCCACTAGCTCAGGTCAGCTATCTCTTTGGGTTCCTCCATCATGATGTTGACCCCACTTGCTTGTACAATCCCTCCTCCCTCTCTTCTCTCCATTTGACACTCACTGCATACACCAAGCTTGTTGGCTGGCCTGAGAGCTTCCAGGGAATCTCTTACTTCCACCTCCAATCTAGTTGTCAGGCAGGAGGCTAGAGCTAGTTTTGCCCCAGGCCCCTGTTTCTGGTCTGGGATCAAGCTATGTTAGTGCTGGCTGTACTACTGCATGGACTAAAGGCAGTGTAGAGCCTTCCTTTCAGGCTTCTCTCCTACCTGTATATCCACCCAGAGATAACCCAATCTACTATCTTGTCTTCTAAGAGTTAAAGGTCTTCCAAAAAGTCACTCTGTGGCACAGCTGGAGAGAAAGTCAATGGGCAGGGTGAGGTAGCACCAGCTTTCTCCTGAATGAAATCTCAGAAACCTAAGATAAGAGGTAAAAACTGGAAACAGTAAAGCTGGCCTGTGGCCAAAGCCTGATGTGCAGGTTGCATGTCATGGACAAGAGGGGGAACATGTGGAGTAGATTGAAACTGTGGCATTGGACTGTCAAAAGCCCGTAGTGGAAAGCCCAGCCTAGAGTCATCAGAAATGGACTTTCACTTTGTCTCTGAAGGTCAGATAGGCCACAGAGGTTGGAAGATCTGCCCATCATTTTCTTGAGAGTGAGGCTGAGACCCAGGGGTGGTGAACTGTTTTTCTTACAGCTTTGGCTGCCTCCGGGAGACAGTGGCTGTGCCACAGGTGTGCTGTGTGCCTTCCTTTCACCTATGGTTTGTGGAATTTCTTTACCTGCAGAATTTATTGACCTCCACAGTAGTTGCTTCAAGAGCTTATACCCAGAGGATAGTCCAGGACTGAGCAGTGGGGAAGCAGATTCCACTGAAGGCTCCAAAATTCATCATCCCCACAGGTAAGGCAGAAGAGTCCTGGGCATTCTGTGGATTGCAAGGCAGGATGGGGCTTAGTTTACAGACTCATCACTTCAGAATCTGCAGATAAGGTTCTTATGTGTTTCTGAAAATGTTAACACTCCTTCCCTCAACCAAGGAACACCACAAACACTGGCACATACATGGACATCCTGTACCTTGGACGGTATGCAGGCTTGCCCTTGGCCAGAGCTCTTCCTTGAATTTACAAGCATTTTCCTCATATTTATTCCATAGACTAAGGCTGCCGGTTTCTGAGAAGTATCAAGGTTTTACCTTTTAATATTTCAGATTGTTTTGAAAGGGCTTTAAAAACCTAAGAGATGCCAAGACATGGGCTTTATTAAGATAGGCTACCAGGGCTTTTGGGAGGACTGGAGGGGCATGAGTGTATAGGCCAGTAGAGGGCTCTGTGGTAGAGAGATAATGTCCAACAGCCTAAGGGACTAAAGAGACAAAGATGAATAGTGTCCAGAGTATCCCAGGGTTCTATTATTGAGAGAAGATGCCCCAGGTTTTCAAAAGACTGTAGATTGGTGAAGTATATGAGTGATCTGAGGTATTTTGGTCAAGATAAGATGACAAAAACCTCTAGGTTGGAAGATATCTCAAGAAGACTGGAAGTATTGCCTGGGGTCTTCTGATGCTAAAAGAGTTGCTACATCCTGTTTCAGTATACACCTGTCCTATCTTCACTAGGGATGGCCAAGGCCATGTTTCCAGGTTGTGATGGAACCTTTCTCATGTCACCCACTGGGTCTCTAACACACCAGGGCTAGGGATGTTCTTCCGGTATAATGGTTAGCTTTATTCTTCTGTGTGACGGTGTTCCAGGGGGAGATAGAAATAGATGTATGCTCATCCCAGACAGGGAACTGAAAACAAATCAAAGTAGCAATACCACCAAAGTCCATCTGGGTGAAGGATAAGTTTAAGGGGTCACTTACAGAGTAGGGATGACCAAATGCAGCTGCATCGCCAAAAGCCTACCCCAACATGTGTGATGACCCCCAAAACCTGGAATCCTGAAGCTCTCTTATAGGCAATTTGACAAGTTTAGTATCCTCCCTGGGCATCTCAGCTCTTCAGAGTCTCCTTCAGGCAGCTTGGCTAATCCAAGTCTCCACACTCAGCAGTTGCTTACTCCTTCGATAACCTTGGGGGAGGGATCTTTGTGAATCTTAAAAGTTTCAGCTTTCCCAGATGTGAAGTTTGTTTAATTCCTGAGTCTCATGCATCTTCCTCATTCCGGAAGGGAATGTTTCAGCCAGGAGGAAATGACTCCATGACAGTCCTGTAGAATTCCATGTAAATAGAATCAGATACTGTGCACTCAGGGGTTTTGTTGTTTGTTTGTTTGATGACAGAAGTTTTTTTTCTGTAGATTTGGCTGTCCTTGTACTCCCAGCTGTCCTCCTGCCTTAGCCTGGGAGTGCTGTAATTGTAGATTTTGGCTCCATGACCAGCCTTTTGTTTGCTTTTGCTTTGCTTTTCTCTGGTGTCAAGTACTTAGTGTATGCACGGTGAGATTGTCCTGGGAGGACTGGATCGGCATCACTGATGCCCTCGTCATTTGCTGTCTATGACCTACCACATAAGCCTGCTCACGTTATGATGTTTTCCTCCTGATGAACTCTTCAGAGTGCCTTGTCTGACCAGTGTTCACAATTCCATCTGTCATGCAGAATGACTTTGATATATAGATATGGGACTATGGGGATGATGTCATCCAGTGTCCCCTAGAGACAGAACCTTTTCTGACATGAGAAACAGAATTGTACAAGACAGAGGTCTTCCCTTTCAGTTTTCTAGAGGTGTCACCAGCCTCATCTGCCATGCCAGCACCTGTGTCAACCATGGAGCTGTGCCAAACCTTGCCCTCCAGCCAGGTGAGACACTCTGAGGTTTGCATGTTTCTTCTCAGAGGTAGTTATCCTGGGCAGTGAGTAAGGAACAGAAGTAACTTGTGGGTGGATGTTACTATATTCAGAACTGGGTTGGGGTTGGGGTACAGATCCCTCTCCTAATTCAAGAATGAGTCTGATGAGGCCAGGAGGTACCCAGGTCGGAAGGCAGGTGTTTCAGAGCCTGAGAGCATGCCTCTATGTGTAATGCTGAGCTGGTTTTTCAGGTGCAGTGGCCTGACGTCCAGACCTCCCTCTTGGAATCCTTTGTGGAGAGCCATGATGCTTTTTGAGTTTTTCGGTGCAGCCTGGGCCAAACTACCCACGAGGAGATGGGCCAGCACATGGAATGATCAAGTGTGGATTATTCACCAGTTCAACGCAAGTTACAGAGCTTTTCCCTAAACAAAAACCAGTGTTCCCAGAGTTCCCCAAGAGAGCCTGCTAGGAAGTTCCAAAAGTTCTTGTCATACCACACTGAGTAGATTGGGTAGCAGTTCTCTGTATTGGCAAAGTTTTTGAGAAAAATTTGTGGTATCATAAGTCTAAGGTAGGGTTTCTTCCTATAGGCAAGATAAATGTGAATGACAAGTGCTGAGCAGGAAGGCTACCTAGATCAAGGAAGAATTTTCCACTGTTGAGCCTTCCTACTCACCTGTACACGGGGCCACCCTATTCCACTCATTAACTTTATGAGTGGGTATGGAGAATGATATGACAATCTTTTCTTTGTTCATGGGCCCTCCTCCTAAAGTTCTGAGCAACAAAGTCGACTGGAGATAGCTCAGATAGGGTGAAGCAGATAGGAAGTGAATCTTCCTTACCACCTTGAATCCTTTATGTTTCTGAAAGTATTGTTTTATTAAACTAAATTAAGGATTTTGTTTCAAACTCCCCACTTTATACTGTACCCTAACATCTGTTCATATCAATGCAAAGAGATTAACACCAGTTTTCCCCAGACCAGTGTTTGTGGTGGGGTGGTGTTAACTGATGCTCCCTAAAGCCCCAATGGATGTTGCCTGTTTCCTAGCATAGTTTGTAAGCACCATTTGGTTGGCATCCTCTCTCATCTCTGTTCCTTCCCCTTTGGTTGGTTATTTCTTCATTATAAATTCCTGAAAGCTCCATTTCTTGTTGAGTTGTTGTGGTCTATATGATTTGCTGTGGAGTCTGATGGCCCTCTCATCACCTGCCCGGATGTCTGGTGAGGTACACAAATGGGGAGCTACTGCTGGGGTACAAGAAGGTTGAGTTCACCAAGCAGGGGAATCTTAACCAAAATTGGGGCTGGGTATTATGGGAGAGTGGGGCAGGGGGTTTCAGCAAGTGAAACACGTGCTTTGTCACTATGGATGAAGCCTATTATACTCTTCAGCTAGGGATCAGATACTCCTTCATCAATGAAGGGGAGGCAGGCAATGACAATGGCTTCTCAGGAGCTCAAGTCAGAGGATCTGTTGACATCAACCACTTATCTTCTGGCCACAGGAATACTGAGTCTCTAGACCTGCTCACCTGGCTGACTCACCTAGATTCAGTGGTGGTGTGGGCAGTGACTGCTGTGCTTTGGGTTGCTGAAGAGGACTACTGGTCCTCTCAGGAGGTTTAATCTGTTCTCAGCCTGTGACCTCTATTATGTATGTCAGGATATGATCTCCAGTGTCTTAGTTTACTTTTTTGTTGCTTAACACAGTGGTCTCTCAGGGCCTTCCCAAGGCAACTCCAGCACTGCCCCACAAGGCCTGGCCTCAGCTGTTGTCTGAAACCATGAAGCAGGACTTCCTAAACCACCAATCTTACATTTTGTGTGCTTTCAAAGTAGTACTACATGGATGCTGCTGCTGCCAACTTCAGGGAGAGCCTGTCTCCTCATGACCACGACAGCATCAGCTTCTATGTGTTGACTCTGTGTCATAGTCACAGTCAGTTGACTTAGAGAAACAGGAAATCTTTTCAGTTTTGGTTTGCTTTCATCCAATGAGTTTGGACCTTCACAGAATGGAGCCTCCAGCGGGATGCCTTCAGGACACCCTCCCCATTGTCCCAGAACAGCACTTTTCTCTTTAGTGGTGCTGATCTCTGACAATTACAGCTTGTTTCTCGTCACCAGACCTATGCTCTCACATCTTGAGATTTTCTCTACCTAACAGAGGATCTCATTACATTCAAATTTAGATTCGCTCAAGTACTTGGGGCATAATCAGAATAAAACCAGAATCTTGCCAGATTATTTCATGAATTGTGTCTGTCCAGGTTTCTGATAGAATCCTTCTTGCCTTCTGAAATTTTGAGCAGGGCTGAGGCAGGTAAGTACAGAGAATAGTTTAATGACCTGAGACTCTCAGTTCGGGCTGTACACATACTCCATTTATCATACTGCACTTGGTAGTCTTAGAGCCTTGCCTGCATATAATCAGCACACTCTCCTAGCAACCTATCAAAGTGGGATTCCCATCTGCAATGGAATACACATGTATCCTTCTGAATAGTGGAATATGCTTCTTCCCTAACAACCAGCAAACTTGGACATAATCCACTCAAACATATTCCAAGTTAGGTCAGGGTACAGGTCTGGGGAAGGGCCATCCAATATGACCTGGTTTTGATTCATGTGTGGTAAGATATACCATTTTCTTAAGTAGAGTTGTAGGCAAACTATTCTATATACCACTGTCTTAGTTAGAGTTACTCTTACTGTGATGAAACACTTACTGTGATGAAACACCATTACCAAAGCATGTGGCAGTGAGAGGGTCTATTTGGCGTACATTTCAACATCCTAATCAATCATTGAAGGAAGTCAGGAAAGAATCTCAGACAGAGCAGGAAGCCTGAAAACAGGAGCTAATGCAGTGCCCATGGATGTGTGATTTTATTGGCTTGCTTACTGTTTTAGAGGTTTATTTCATTATCATTGTGATGGAGAACATGGCAGCACACATGGCACTGAAGAAGTAGTGGAGTGCTACATCCTGGTCTGCAGGCAGAGAGATAGAAAAAGAGGGGTGCTGGCCTGGGCCTGGTGTGGGCTTTGAATCACCGAAGCTGACCCACCCCCAGTGACACACTTCCTCCAACAAGGCCATACCTCCTAATCCTTCTAATCCTTCTCAAGTAGTGCCACTCCTTGATGACTAAGCACTGAAATATATGAACCTATGGGGCCATTCTTATTCAAACCACCACGCTCCACTCCCTGGCCCCCATAGTCTTGTAGCCAGATCATAATGTAAAATGCATTTAGTTCAACTTCAAAAGTCCTCATAGTCTTTCACAGTTATAACACTGTTTAATAAAAGTCCAAAGTTCAATATCTCTTCTGAGACTCATGGCAATCTTCTAAATGTAATCACCTTTAAAATCAAACCCAAAAATCAGATTACATACTTTCAATATACATTGCCATTCCAAAAGGGAGGAAAATGAACCTAGTGCGGAAATACTGGACCAAAGCAATACTGAAACCCAGCAGGACAAACTCCAAAATTTGCGTCTCCATGTATGATGTCAAAGAACTCTTCAGCTCTCCACCTCCATTGAACTTTGTTGACTGCAACGTGCTTTTCTCTGTTGGGCTGGTTCTTACCTTGTTCTATAGCTCTTCTTGGCAGGATTCCCACAGCTCTAGCATCTCCAACACCATGGGACCCCCAACAAAATCTAGGCTTTATTTTCACACTTCACATAATTTACACTGCCCTCAGCACTGCTATCTTTCATGCTCCTACTAGAATAACCCATTCAACCCTGCTTAAAGTGTTCGACCTGTTTTCTAGCACAAAGTCTCAAAGTCCACATTTTGCCAACAAGTAGCATTGTTAGGCCAGTCATAGCAATTCCCCACTCCCTGGTACCAAATTCTGTCCTAGTTAGGTTTACTATTGCTGTGACAAAATGCCATGACCAAAGCAAATTGGGGGAGGAAAGGGTTTATTTAGCTTACATAGGAGTGAATATGATTTAAAATCAGATGCCTTATGGGAAGTGACATGAGCAGTAGAAAGATGATTATCAAATCAGAGAACCATCCTCACCATGCCTTTTAGTAACCTAATGCCTTTTCCCTTGAATCACATAAAAGGAAGCCCCAAGCAATAATGGGGGCCCTTGAGCTTCATCACTCATATATGGTCTACTGTTCCTTTGCAGTGTGATCTCATTTTTTCTATTGTTTTGCTTTAAATACAGTTTTCTTGCTACTTTTGAAAATCTATGTTGACTGTTTTTTCAGTGTTTTTGAATTAGAAACCAACAACCTGGAAATACCTGACTCTGACTACTGGTAGTAAGACTGATAACAAAACTGATGTCTTCTTTGGGAAATGTTAGATCACAATGCCTATAGCTGCCTTTCTTTCCTAGAAATCAGCCCACAACCCAGCAGCTAGCTAAATACTCCTCAGGCTTGACATATAAAACCTATTACTGTTAGGCTGAGTGCTTAGGACTAAATTGGATGTTGTAGAACTTCCATCTAGCCTCTGAAAACCTGCAGGCATCAGTGTTATGGGTGAGGGTTAGAGTTAGGGTTAGGGGCTAGGGTTAGGATGAATAAATGAAAGTTAATCATTAGGACTTACCTTTGGGTTAAAGCTAAGGTTAGGAGTTATTTTAGTGGTATGGTTAGGGGATAAGTAAAGGTTATGGATTATAGTTATGCCTTACAGTTAGGTAGAGGGTTTTAGTTACAGTTAGATAGAGGGTTTTAGGTTATATATGAAGACTTAAAGTTATCTTCAGAGATGGGGTTAGCATTAGAATGAGTATTAGGGTTGTTAGAACTTTCAATTACATTTAGTATTGATGTTAGAGATAGATTACTTTTAGGTAATTAATAATTAGTGATTAATAATAAGTGATAGGTAAGTGTTAGTCTGTGAAGTAAAAGTTAAGGTTTGAGTTAGGTTTTAGTGTTAGAGTTACATCTGTAGGTCACTGTTAGAATTAACTTTAGAGTTTTGGGTCATCACTTAGAGGGATTATTGTTATAGTGAGGAGTAGGCTTAGGGGTTATGGTTAGGCTTTTAGTTACAGGTTAGGATTATTTTTAGGGTTTTAGTTTAGAAGTTAGAGTTAGTGTTAAGATGGAGTTTAAGATTATATGTTAGGGTCTAGGAATGAAGATAGGGTTAGGAATACCAATATGGTTAGGGTTAGGATGACATATGTTTTACAGGATAGGGTTAGAAATTCTGATATGGCTAATACTGGTGGTTAGGGTCATGTACTAGGGTTTGGAGGTTAGGGTTACTGGTTAGGTGTTAGGTTAGAATTGGTGGTTAGGGTTAGGAATACTGATATGTTGATATGGCTAGTGTTAGTGATTAAGATTGTGTACTAGGTTTTAGAGGTTAGGGTTACTGGTTAGGTGTTAGGGTTAGAGTTAGTGTTTGTGTTAGGGTTAGGATTTAGGTCTTAGGGTTTGTACTAGTGTTAGAATTTAGGGTTAAGGTTAAGAAGTTGATGTTTGGGTTTGAGGCAGTTACTAGTGTTACTGTTAAAACTTACGTTATATTTAATGTTAGAGAATGAAGTTAGGGTTAGAATTTGAATTAGATTATAGAGTATGGTATAGGATTATTATTAGAGCAACAGGTTATGTTAAGAATAGTGTTAGGGTTTCTGATATCTGAGTTAGGTTCAAGGTTAAATGGAAGGGTTAATTGAGTGTTCTGGTTAGAGCTTAGACTTGGTGTCTATATCAGAATTTGTGTCAGTGTTAAGTACAAGGTTAGGGTTCTGATTCAGGTTAGGGTTAGGGCTAGAGGGTTAGTGTTAGATGTTTGGAGTTGGGTCATTTTTAGTTAAGATTATGATTATGTTTTAGGGTTAAGGCTAGAGTTAGGATTATGGGTTAGGTTTTTGTTTAGAGTTATAGTTAGGGTTAAGTACTAAGTTCTAGGCTGTATTTAGGGTTATGTTTTAGGATTTAGCATTAGGTTAGATCTATGAGTTTATGCTAAGTTAATGTTGATTTTAAAAATTACTTCTTGGAGTTAGTGTTTGGGTTAAGTTTATAGTTAGAGGTTAGGTTATAGTTAATGGGTAAGATTAAGGTTGGGGTTATGTTACATTTAGTAGTAGTGCTGTTATTTTTCTTTAGGCCTTCTGGAAGCTACTGTTGGTGTTAGTGTTTAGACAATTCATGGTAGTACTTTGGGTATGGCTATTACTATGGTTATTATTAAGCCTATTCTATGTTTAGATTTTATAAAGGGTCTATCAGCATTAGGGTTCAGATTAGGTTTGCATTACAGTTAGTGCTGTTCTATACCACCTAAATGCTCCATTGTGAATTCACCTCGGGTGCTCTTATGTCACAGTGTTTCCGTCTGTCATCTATATAGCATGTCATACAAATCACTATACTTTAATATATAAATATGTTCCATCACAATACTCAAATATGATGTAACAATGCTTCACTCTGCCATTACAATTGTTTTCTTTGTCATTACAATGCTCTATTTTCTTGTTATAATAGTCCATATGCTATCATATGACTCAACTATAATATCATAATGATGAATTGTTGTATGAGGCCTTGTGACATCAAAAAACCCCACTATCTCTTCATGATGCTGGCTTTTGACATGAAAGTGATCAAATGTGTGATCATAATGATGCATTTGGCCAGTATAACACTATATATGTCAGCATAAAGTTCATTATGTCAACAGCACTCCATGAGCTACTACAAGGTTCATGGAGTTAGCAAAATAGTGCACTGGATAACCACATACTCACTCTATGGTGCTACCACAATATTATACTGTTTATGAAAGTCTTCCATTGTGTCATTACAATCCTTAATTTTTTTTTTTTTGGTTTTTCGAGACAGGGTTTCTCTGTGTAGCTTTGCGCCTTTCCTGGAACTCGCTTTGGAGACCAGGCTGGCCTCGAACTCACAAAGATCCGCCTGCCTCTGCCTCCCGAGTGCTGGGATTAAAGGCGTGCGCCACCACCGCCCGGCTACAATCCTTAATTTAAAAAACTAAACTCTTTATTGGGCCCTTATCATGCTGCATTAAGCCAACACAGTAATTTGTAATGTTAACATAATGCTGATCTATGACATCACAATTATGAATTTTGATGTTATAATGTGTCTTCATGACAACAAAGATCCACTGTGCCATCACTATGCTAGATTATGTCATCATGATACTAAATTGTGACATCACACTGCTCCATTTTGTCATCACAATGCTCCAATTTGTAATCACATTATGAAAATGTGACATTACAAGGCTGCCTCATGCCACTATTAAGGGATAGATGTCATCACAGTGACCCACTGTGCACCACATGTGACATTTTCATCTCACTTTTAAATTGTGCTCTTATGACACAGAGTTGTGCCAATGAAAAGGTACATTGTACTTTCAGTGTTGTTATGTTTCACTGTCATCATAATGTAAATTATATTACAATGATTGGTTTTTATATCACAGTGTCCATGGTGGACATCATAATTCCCTATTGTGACATCACAATACCCTGCTGAGGCATCACAAAACTCCCTTATGACTTCAGAAACATAGCAGCCATATGTAAAATTCTACATTATGCCATCACTATGCCCCATTATGATATACCAGTGTTCTAGTATTATACCAAAGTGAACCATTGTAGCATTACAATATTGCATTATGACCCAAAAATGATCAATATTTTATTTTCCTATTGCAATGTTGCTTATAATGCCACAGTGCTGAATTTTGAGAACACTTTTGCTTGTGTATTATCACAATGTCCTATCTTTGCATAACAATGTTCTTTGGCCATCACAGTGCTGCCTTGTGCCATACCAATGCTAATTGTGACATCACAGTCCTTCATTATTCTTTCACAAACTTGAATTTTTACAATGCTCCACTTTGCCATTAATAGACTGTACAGCACCATGGCCATGCTGCACATTGTATCACAATGGTGGCTTTTGACATCCCATTGTGTTCTGCTATGTTCTGCTATGCCATCACTATACTCAGTAGTGCCATCAGAGTGCTGCATTATGACATCACATTGCTGAACGGTAGCATCAAACGTTTCATTGTCCTATTGTGTGTGTGTGTGTGTGTGTGTGTGTGTGTAATCATAGAATATAAACCCATGGCTGAGGAGCTTTGATGTTTGATATTTACTGTGAAAGGTAGTTTTTATTATTAATGCTGTGAACTCTCTTAAATAAACAAGATTTGAGACAAGACCACACACATAAGAGCAGTCATGCCACAGAAAATGGACTTGATTGACTTAAAAATTAGAGAGAAAAATGGGAAAAGAACACATTGAGTGTGAGTTGAGGTTGGGATGGCACTAGGATAAACTGTGGTAAGGGGGTGAATGTGATCAAAATGCATTGTATGAATTCTCCAAGAATTAATAACAATGTTTAAAAGCATACATACAGAAATGCATCTATAAAAATAATTTTGTCAGTTTTTAGTATTTAGAATAGTTTAAAATGTTTAATGTATTTATTGAAGGATTTTAATATGCAAATGTCCTCCAAAGCATCATTTTAATTTTTGGAGAGAATAAAGTTAGGTAATTTAGAAAGTAGGGGATGAACAAAGATTAAAATAACAGTGGGAAGTGCATGGGGTAGTTCATAGGTTTGGGTTTTGGGGAACAGTGGCAGCCTGAAGACACCATATCTAGAAGACAGAAGTAAATTACACCAAGAAAATCTAGTGAAAGTTCTTGGCTGGGAAGGGACTTCATTGATATGAACTTGTAGAATAAGAAATAATTATGAATAAAAGGGAAGAAACAGATGTATTTATAAGAATGTAAGAGGATGCCTGCTAGTCTAGACCTGAGTTCCTAAAATGTGAGGCCAAGTGTATAAAATGAACAAAAAAAGGAGTCCTTCATATCCCTGAAAAATGATTTAATGCAGTGATTTTTGTCTCTGGCTATAAATGGATACCTCTGTCGAATGAGTAAAGCCACTTTGGTGGGTGAAACATTTTGGACATTCTGAGATCACACAGGGATCATAAAGTGATCATTACACCTCTAAGAGACAAAACATGTACATATACATAGGTAAACTGAAACAAAATTTAAAAATATATTCCATGATTGTAAGAGTCATAGAGTTTCAGGATACCAGGAGAACATGGCCCACAGAATCAACTAAGCAGGGCTCATAGGGACTCAGAGACTGAAGCAGCAATCATGGAACCTTCATGGGTCTATGCAAGGCCTGCTGCATACATGCTGTGGTTGTTTAGCTTGGGGTTTTTGTAGAAATCCTAACACTGGGAGTGTTTGTGTCTCTGACTTTTTTGCCTGCTCATGGGACCCTTTTCCTCCTACTGGGTTGTTTAACCCAGCCTTGATATGAGCATATGCCCAGTCTCATTGCATATTTTTATACCGTGTTTGGTTGATATCCCTGGGTGGCCTGATCTTTTCTCATGAGAAATGGAAGAGCAGTGGATCAGAGAGATAGAAGATGTTGAGGGGGCACTGGGATGAGGGGAGGAAGGAGAGAGGAGGCTGTGGTCAGGATGTATTTAATAAGAGCAGAATAAATAAAAAAATATAATCTATTCCATGTGTGGCATATACAAGTATGAAAATGCTATAAAAGTCTGTTATTTTAAAAAGGCATGTATACTTCTAACAAGAAAAAATACTCAAATTCAATGATACTATATGTAAACATAAAAAGAATATCTTCAATGACTCTGCGTGATCTTAACATTTACATTTAGACACAGACTAACTATTTCAGAATTCAAGGGCTCTAGAGCTCACTCATGGCTTTATACAGATCTCATGACAGAGAAAATATCAATTAAAGATAAAACTGTATATTCTCTATATACATTTCATACATAAGTTAATATATATATCCACCAGTCTATGAAAATGCCTATGAATAAAAAACAAAAACATGCCAAAAAGAATATGTTCTGTCTCACCTCTGTTTCTTCACAAGGATGTAGGGAAAAGTTCTGCAGGATTTTGACAATAGCAAGCTTCATGTTAATGAGAGCAAACCTCATACCAATGCAGTTTCTAGGACCATATCCAAAAGGCAGATATGTATAAGGATTGATTCTGTCTTTATTCTCCTTGCTGAACCTGGTGTCACAATTGAACAAGAACACAAAAAATGAAACATGAAATGCGCAAGAGCCAAATGTTTACAGTTTTCACCTACAGTCCTCAGCCAGAATCATACAGGTCACTCCAGTATGTTCATTATTCCAATCAGCATGAGTTAATTCATTTTGAGATTTAAAAGTTAAAGTTCTTTTTACAACTTTGGTTTTTTCGAGACAGGGTTTCTCTGTGTAGCTTTGCGCCTTTCCTGGATCTCGCGCTGTAGACCAGGCTGGCCTCGAACTCACAGAGATCCGCCTGCCTCTGCCTCCTGAGTGCTGGGATTAAAGGCGTGCGCCACCACCGCCCGGCTCTTTTTACAACTTTACAGTAAAAGAGCTCCTGAAGTTAAATAGTGAATGATCATTGATGGCAAACGTTTCTTTAAAGTTTAAAATACTAAGGATATCTTGTGTTCCCAGAGTGTGAACATTAGAAAGTAAAATTGATGAAGGAAGGAATTGCCCTGACCATAACACTTGAGTTGGGGATTTGTTCATTGGAGAATGAGGAGATGTATGTTATAAATGAACTGTTAATATTCCGTTCTCTCTTCAACAGCCTCTCATTCCTTCATGTCTTTGTTTTATTGTACTCATCCAAATCATTTTCCTCATCTTCCTCCTCTTCCTCATTAAGTCCCTGTCACGTGGTCTTGGACTGCCTCTCCATCTTCCAAGAGTTATTAAGTGAAGTACTTTTCAAGGGACATGCTGCTTCTGTTATCACTGAATTTTTTCTCCATCTCCTCCATTAGGGGAAAAACAACTAAAAGTACAGACCTATGTCCAATGAAAATTTGATTTCTCACATGATTATTTAAATAAAAATGTTGATTCTAGAAATGTGCTAGAGGACTAATAACCATCTATTCTCTGAGCGTTATAAAGAATCAGGGAAGATGAAGAAATACTTTCTAAGCTATTCTATAGAATTGCAATGGAGTCTAATGAAAGTTGTACTGGTATGTGTGTGCAATGTGAACTAGATGGAATCCTGTTGGGAAGATTTTACACACACACACACACACACACACACACACACACACACACACACACACTCAAACAGACGGGAAACATTGGCATTCTTCTGTAGACATCTTATGTACTACATTTGATTAAAACATCAGAATTCTTTAACTTTTGCATTCCTCTTCCCTGGTCTAGTCACTGATGACACTGTGTCTATATTATATGATGGAGATCAGAAACAACAATAGAGACACAAAATGAATAATGTCCAAGTTTGTAGACACTGAACTAAAGGAGGTTGAAGTGGTGGCTGCATAGAGGGACATAGAATTCACCTAATCAGAAAACAGGAGTTAGGTGACTCCATTGTACTCCTCTAATAAGTACTATACATAGACCATCTGCCAACACCAGGGACACATGGCTAAAACTACAAGGTTTTAGGCATCAAGAACTTCATAAAAGATACTACTATTTGTTTAAATTCTTGGCTTTCTGATTCAGCTGCATCTATTTTAAAAATATTATTTTTATATAAGTAGCATGATGTGGATTGGACAGATTATTTATAGGAATATATATGTATATCCACACACCTGCATGTGAGCACCTAAATAACATTTTGTGAAAAAAGAGGCCATATACATGAAGAAATGTGGGGATGGATCTATAGGAGAATTTGGAGTGAGGAGATGAATGAAGAAATGATATTCTAACTTACAATCTCAAAACTTAAAAAAAGATAAAATATGATCCTGTACTTATATTAGTGGGGCAACAATGGCAACCTAGCAACTGTTTCCATGTTGCAAACAATTCCCACAGACTGGACATTATTTTCCACTAACAGAATACCCTGATTCTGATTCAAGAAGGATGAAAGTAACAACTTTCTAATGAGTAGATTACTTGACTTTGGAGGACTCACCCACTGGATAAGTGTGAGGGAATTTCCTTCACAAAACAGACAGGAATAAGACTAAGGGGAATTTTATTAACATTCATCCTCAGCGATGCACCTTAGACCATCTGAGAGGAGGCTTTCTGCACCTCTACCTGCACCAATGGCTAATACAATGGATTCCTATATTTGGGAAATTATTCCTATATTTTGGGATGGGTCCAGAGTAAAGAAATATAAACTTCACAATTTAAATAAGATAATTAATTTCCTAATCATGGTACTTTTACTTGCCCTCTTTGAAACACACTTACACGCACACACACACACAAACACACACACACACATGCACACACACACTGAAGCACCTGTCTTAAAATAGCAATTATAGATTATAGAAAGTAATCAGCAATTATAAATACAGTTAAAAACTGATATTTTTTCTAATATCTAAAGATCTACACACATTTCCAAATATGTCCAATGATGTCATTATATTAATGGAATTTATATTAAGATTTTGTGGTAGTTTGAATGAAAATAGCCCCATAGGCTCATAGCAACTGGCACTATTGGAAGGTGTGGCCCTTTGTGGTAAAGTGTCACTGGTGGTAGGCTTTGAGGTCTCAGAAGCTCAAGCCAAGACTATTGTCTTTCTTCTCTCCCTGCTGCCTGCTGATCTGGATGTAGAACTCTCAGCTGCTTCCCCAGCTCAATGTCTGTCTGCATGCTGCCATGTTTCCTGCCATGATGATAATGGACTAAATAAACCTCTGAAACAATAAGGGGGCCCAAAGAAATATTTTCCTTTATAAGAGTTACAATGGTCATAGTATCTCTTCACAATTTTAAAAACCCTAACTAAGACAGGTTTAAGCCTCTATAACAAAATTACAAAATATAGAAATGTCACTTTTTGGTCCATTAAAATGTCTGTAGTTTTTACAATAATTATCATTATGTACTAATGGCATTCTAAAATCAAACTTAAATGCAGCAAGGTAATACAAATTTATATTTAAGTGATTAAAGCAAGAGATGTCTTAACATACTGAGAGAAGTTTGGTTATGTGTGTGTTCCCATTCTCAGGGACCTCATACCTTTCAGGACGGAATTTCTCAGGCTCTGGCCAGTATCTTGGGTCTTGGTGAAGAACATAGATAGGTATGATCACCTGTGTCCCTTTGGGAATGAACACACCATTGATTTCAGCATCTTTCTTACTGAGCCTGTTAACCCTGTTAGCAACTGGGTATAATCTCAGAGTTTCATTCACCACCATGTCCAGATATTCCATCTCTACCAGGGCTTCATAAGTGGCAGGTGCCTGGGAAAATAAAATAAAAGATTTTGCTGGTTTGAGATTTGAAACTAACTTTCATGTCAATCTTCACAGTACTATTAAGTTTTTAGGAACTCCACATTCAACCCAGATTAATGCTTGGATTTACCATTGATAAGCCCTAATCACCACAGTCATGTGTTGACATACTAAAGGTCCACTGAAATGCATGGTGAAGTGAATATGAAAGACCATTCACAAAAGCTTACACTTAGGTCCCAAGTCTTCAGTTTTCTCATTTGTACTGTTTTCCTTTCATTAATAATGAGTGGCATATTTTGTCAATCTCACTCAACATAAATCAGCTGTTAAGGGTGTCAAAATTTAATATAGGGAATCCACAAGTCCAGACTGAGGAAATATAATGTGGGGAACATTAAATTCCTTTTTAAAATTCTTTATCAATCCTTTCAGAGTACAATTCACACTTTTTAAGTTCTATGACTGAATTTATCTTATTACTATAGATGTCCAAGTTGAATATCAATGCCATATTAAATAGGAATAGTATATGAAATTACAGTGACTGACTTCATTTGAATCTTTTCTCTTTGAAACTCTTCATGGTAAAACAGCCTAAAAATGGAGATGAAGTGAGCAAAAAGTTTCTATTCTGTGAGAGAACCATTCAGCTCCATGCTCAGTTTCTGAAAGGAACTTTTCCTTGTTACTTCATATGTTGTTCTATTAAATCTCTAACTTTCAACATACCACAAGCTAAAGTCATCTGAAAAGGAGGTCTATATTAATCAATTAGGGATTGCTAGTTTAGATTGGATTGTGCATGTATGTGGGAGAGTTGATGCCCTAAAGGTCCATTGATGTAGCAGGGTCTAGCAATTTGCATGTAGTACTATTTTCGGATTTGATGACCCTGGGCTGCATGAAAACAACTAGATAATGATATATCATTGAGTTGGCCAGAGGGCAGTCAGCAACCTTCATAGGTCCTGCTGTGCTTCTTTGGCTGTGTATGAGTACCTTGGTCAGAAGCAGTGCTGTGTAGAGTGGCAGGCAGTCCTGACTAAAAGTCTGTATCTTGAGTTCCTGCAATGCCTGTCCTCAGTGTTAGCCTGTCATGTGAAAATGTAGGCTAAGGTAAATATTTTCCTCCCCATAGTTGTTTTGGATCATGGCATTTGTCACAGTGACAGAATGAAACAAGAAGAGGGGGTGAGCATGAGGTCTGAAGATGATTTGAATACATGTCATTGACATTCCAGCCAGTCACAGAGTTCAGGTACCACACAACCCATTACATCCAGTTTGGGGCATAGATGAGAAGACAGCTCATATGATGTGTGGCTTTCACATTGTGGGACTCTGAAGCTACCATAATGTAGAGGTGAACAGTTTAAGCTGAAAGCTGCCATGATGCCATTTGTTTTATTCTAATTATGTGGTCAGAGAGAGGAATAATGAAGAGTATAGCTAAATCAGCCTGCCCAGAAAGGACCACACAAGACACCAATCATATCAGTCATGCCAAAGAATTTCCAGTAAAAATAATACAGCTATCAGGTCATTTGTTTAAGTTCTAGGGGTATGGTTATGAGCACTGTTTACTCTTACAGAGGACCCAGGTTCAGTTCCCAGTACACATATGGTAAGCACATTTCCTAGAAATCTAATTACAGGAAATCTGAGGCAATTTTCTGGCTTCCTCATGTTTTAGATATGCATATGTTACAGATATATACATGCCGGCAAAACACCCATTTGAGTTTAAAGAAGAAACTTAACTGACACTTGCTTATCCCTAAATATCTAAAGAGATTTTATGCAAGTTTTTGATTTGTTTCATTGTAGTTAGAGATAGCGGATATTACAGGATCAGTACAGAATTACAGAGATTAGTTTTTCTCTACACATAATTTTTTCTTTGTTTTAGATTTTCACAGGTTATGGCTGAAAGAATCAATTCTTTCTGTATTTACTGTAATTCTAAATTCAAGTACAGAAGTGTGTTTCACATTGAGGTTTGACATTGTCCCTGTAGCTTTCAGCACCATCCACTCACCTTATTGGGCAGGTCTGTATCAATCTCATTCTGAAGTTTCTTCTGAACATTGGGGTGAATCGCCAGTAAATACGTAATAAAGGAAAGAGCAGTGCTTGTTGTCTCATAGCCAGCAAAAAAAATGTGATTGATTGGGCCAGGATCTCCAGATCAGAAAGAGCTAAAATGAGGTAAGACATTTTATGTCAATGACTAAAGCTGGTGCCTACACAGAGTCTTCACTTGCTTTGTTCTACCATCTTTGACACAGGAATGTACACTGCACTTTATCTACAATGGTGTACTGCCTGAGAGATATGCAAGGGCAATGGTGGCACAATACATGTGGGAGTAACCAACCAATAACTGATTTGACTTATGACATACTCCATTAGATGGAACTAAGATTGGCACTGCTTAGATGACCAAGAACCTACAAATAGATATATCAGTGACTGAGAGCAAATAATACTGTAGTAAAAAAAAAACAAAGAAATGAATGGATAAAATGACTCCTAATGATATTCTGTTTTTTTTTTTTTTTTTTTGGTTTTTCGAGACAGGGTTTCTCTGTGTAGCTTTGCGCCTTTCCTGGAACTCACTTGGTAGCCCAGGCTGGCCTCGAACTCACAGAGATCCGCCTGGCTCTGCCTCCCGAGTGCTGGGATTAAAGGCATGCGCCACCACTGCCCGGCATGATATTCTGTTTTACTTGTAGATAAGAGCCTTGCTCAGTTATCATGAGAGAAGACTCCTCCTGCAGCTGATGGGAACAAATGTAGAGAACGACAACCAGACAATAGGCAGATAGTGAGAGCATTTGGAACACTCAGTCCTAAGTGGGATATCTCCACCAAATCCCTCTCCTCAGAGCCCAGGAAATCCACAGAAAAGGAGTCTGGAAGACTCTATGAGGCAATGGGGATGAGAATACCAAGAAAAACAAGAATACAACACTCCAATTCAACATGATGAAATGTCATATGAACACCAAGAGACTGAAGAAGCATGAATAGGGCCTTTGCAGGTATCTACCGGGTCCTCTGTGTATATATTTTGGCTCCCAGTGTATTTATGGTATTCTTGAGTATGCAAATGACTGTGTATCTGATTCTTGCATCTTCCCTTAGACTCTTTTCTTTTGTTAGCTTTTCTTCCCCAGCTTTGATATTAGTTTTTGTCTTTCTATATTTTATTTTGTTACATTAGAGAATGAATGCATAAATGAAAACCTAGTCACTGGAGAAAAGGGAAACAACTGAGCTGTCTTTTATATGTGTTGAGATAGAAAAAAACCAGGTTTCTTTCCAAATGGAGTGACACTGGGAATATCAACCACTCCAGGACAGGCTTCATTCTCAGCAGTAGTTGCCCAATATATTATGGACTCTACAGTATGTGTGTGTGTGTGTGTGTGTGTGTGTGTGTGTGTGTGTGTGCGCGCGCGCGCGTGTGTGTGTGCAGTGGGATGTTCTGTGTGGCAAATGTGTTGCTCTGATTGGTTGGTAAATAAAACACTGATTGGCCAGTAGTCAGGCAGGAGGAAGTATAGGCGGGACAAGGAGGAGAACAAAGCTGGGAAGTGGAAGGCTGAGTCAGAGACACTGCCAGCCGCCACGATGACAAACAGCATGTGAAGATGCTGGTAAGTCATGAGCCACGTGGCAAGGTATAGATTTATAAAGATGGATTAATTTGAACTGTAGGAACAGTTAGCAAGAAGCCTGCCACGGCCATACAGTTTGTAAGCAATAAAAGTCTCTGTGTTTACTTGGTTGGGTCTGAGCAGCTGTGGGACTGGTGGGTGAGAGAGATTTGTCTTGACTGTGGGCAAGGCAGGAAAACTCTAGCTACATGTGTGTACTTTGATTTAGTTACATTTTAGTGTTTGTTTTTGGTACTGTTTTGTGTTTTCTCCTTTGTTTTGGGTAATTTTCTGTTGTATTGGGCTTTTGTTTGCTTTTGAAAAAAAACTTAAACTTTGCTGGGTGGAGGGATCCTTAAGGCCTTTGGAGAGGGGAAGAATATGATCAAAACATATTTAAATTAAAAAATTGTTTAATAATAGAAAATAACAAAAAATGGGCATTGGCTTCAAATGTGGGATTAACTATGGAATTAATTAATTAAAATTTCCAAAACACACATTGTAGTACCAATGTATGGAAAGAAACATCACTCTGAAATACTAAACTCAGTCAAAGTGAATAAAAGAATGAAGAGGAAATATATTATAGACTCTGTGATTTTTCTTCTTCAAAGTGCTATGTTATTGTGAAAGGAAAAATAAATTTCCACAGTCCCTTAAGCTAGTGAACACACTTCCAATGCATGAACCACAGTGAAAGTTGCTATTTGGATACTGGGCTTCCTGATTGGGTGCTCTAGAAGCAGATTTGCAAGTAGAGGTTCTGCTTCAGTAGCCCAGCCTGAGGCTGAGAATCAGCATTTGACTGATGTAGTGACCCACACATCAATGAAGACTCTTGGAGTGTAAAAAGCAATGCTCATAACAGACCTTCAGATCTTTAAAAGTTTCATTAAAATAGAATTATTTCATTACCCTCTTTGTGTCCTTCCTCCTAACGCTCCCATGCCAAACCTCCACTCACTCTCAAATTTAGGGGCTCTTCTTTAAATATTTGTATTACATACACAAATAAATAGTCATAAATATAACCTGCTGAATCTACTCAGTTTTGCCTACTTGTACCTGTTTCTGTGTTGGTAACTTAGTATTGGATAAACAATCAGGGGCTCATCATTTGGAAAGACTAATTATCTCTCTCTCTCTCAGATGACCTGAACTACCTGCATCTCTTCATCTATGGATTAGTTTTCATAAAATTTTCCCCATCTAAGTTGAAATGTCAACTGTTCAGGTCTAGGTTAGGTAGCCATGTTGATGAGATTTCATGGTTTTAGCTTCTCAGTCACAGAGGGAAGGTACAATAAACATAATGTATTCTGTATGCATATACACCATGATTTTAGAAAGTGCCTCAGTCTGCTGCCTATAACAGCATGTCTGTGTCTTTCTGTGAATTAGTAGGAAGCTTTTTCTGCTTGAATGACCCCTTTACATTTCAAGAATCAGCCCCTCCCTCTGTGCATTCCCTTTAGACCCTAAATTATCTGTAGTTACGTTTATGGGACTCCATGTCCTTGGAATTCTGGGAGTCCATCATCAGCTGAAGAAAATCCACTCGGTGCTGAAAGGAGACAGAAATTTTAAAAGCAGAAAGTGGGTTGGCAGGCCAAAAATAAGGATGAAATGTAGAAGTTTAACTCTCATGAGAGGAAATAGATCATTTAAGAGTTCAGCTAATGTTGTCTCAATTACTAGTAACACAAAACACTGACCCATACGTTTCCAGGAACAAAAAGTTCATCATAAGGCCAGTTGTGATGGCACACACTTTCACACCAGCACTTTAGGAGGCAGGTTAATCTTTGAGTTTGAGTCCAGCCTGGTCTATAAAATGTGTTCGAGATAGCCAGGGCTACTCAGAGACCTTGTCATGAAAAAATATTTTTTTAAAATAAGTCTGCCAGGGTAGTGTATCATGCTGCCATGTCCAACACCATTTCTCATTGCTTTCCCTCATTCTAAGCACCTGTAGCTGTTGATGACAGACTCCTGGCTGCATAGTTGTAGTTTCTTCTCCTTGACATATTGTTAACCAATATCTCATACTCATCAACTGGTGTTTCTTCAACTGACTGCTATGTTTTATGTGATTGCTAACTCTCTTAGTTAGGGTCACTATTGATGTGAAGAGATACCATCACTTTGGCAACTCTTGTAAATGAAAACCTTTAAATCTGGTGGCTTACTCACAGTTCTGAGATTTAGTCCATTTGCATGATGGCAGAAAACAAGGCAGTGTACAGGCAGACATGGTGCTAGAGAGGTAGCTGAGAGTTCTTACACCTTGACAGGCAACTGCAGGTGGTCTGAGACACTGGGCGTGTCTTGAGAATATATGAGATCAAAGCCCACCTACACAGTGACACACTTCCTCCAATAAGGCCACTCCTACTCCAAAAATCACACCTCCTAATGGTGCCACTCCCTTTGGGAGCCGCTTTCTTTCAAACAACCACACCTACAAATGTTCCAAACCCCAGAATACTAGCAAATAAGCAGTGGCAACACCTCAGAAATGATGCTGAATCCCTGAGAGCCTTCTATCAGCATTTTTTCTGCCAACATCCTTATCCTTAATCCAGCATGTACACTGTATTAAGCAAAACTGGGTTATACAAGTGGCAATCTCAGTGCTCAAAGATATTGGCAGAATTCAAGGCATGTTAGAAATTTAACAGACCAAATACATCAAATATCTGAAAAGGGCTTTCTATAAGGAATGTGTGTCTTTTGACATCATTACCATAGGAATAAAATAAACTTTTTTAGTTTACCTCTTGGGTATTTTCAAGTCGATCTTTTTTGGTCTTTTCTATAAATTTCTTAAAAAATGATGTAGCATCACTTGGAAACATGCAGACATTTAATTTGTTATATATTCTGGAAAGGAATGGAAAGAGTGCTGTATAGAAAAGAAAAATGAATAAAGAAAATTTTAAGCTTTTGACAGTTATTTTATTCACCAATTGTAAAATTTCAATAATTTAAGTGAAATATCGAAACAACAGGAATAATTGTGGTAGAAATGAGTTTAACTGTTGAGACCAAGCTTGGAAAAAGCACAGAGACAAATAGCCAAACTATTGGAAACACATGAACTATGAACCAATAGCTGAGGAGCTCCCAACTGGATCAGGCCCTCTGGATAAGTGAGACAGTTGATTAGCTTGATCTGTTTGGGAGGCACCCAGGCAGTGGAACCAGGACCTGTCCTTAGTGCATGAGCTGGCTGTTTGGAACCTAGGGCTTATGCAGGGATACTTTGCTCAGCCTGGGAGGAGGGGACTGGACCTGCCTAGACTGAATCTACCAGGTTGAGCTGAATCCCCAGGGGAGTCTTTGCCCTGGAGGAGTTGGAAATGGGAGGTGGGCTGGGGGAAAAGCAGGGGAGAGAGCAGAAGGGGGAGGACAGGGGAATCTGTGGCTGATATGTAAAATTAAATTAAATTATAAAATTAAAAAATATTTAAAAAAACACAGCGTTAATGCTAAGGTCATATGTTTTGTTATATATCAAGAAAATGTACTGAAATCCAAGTACTTACTTTCTTCCCATCTAAAGAAATATCTATGTATTATAATTCTGGATTTAAAACAAAACTTAATAAATGAGTTTCAAGTGCATGCAATTGCACATAAAAAATCCATAAAAAGTATATCAGTCCTAAAAGTAATTGAATTTCAAATAAAAACACAAAAATAAGAGTTCAGCTCCAGGAAGATTCAGTGTGCAATTCCATGAAATATTTATCAGACAATTCTTTCCAGTCCTTCACAGGCATTTCTAAAACTTACAAAACTAGGGGAAAGTGAAGAATTGAATCTGGTTGCTTCGATTGCCCTGTTACTAAAATCAGAATATATTTTGTGGTGGAAACCTGTGTAGAAATATGACTTAAATATACCAAAGACATATTATCAGTAAAACATTTACCAGTGGAATGCAGAAACATGAAAAGAATTCTGTTGTATGCTACTCAATGAGGCACAACACAGAATAAATCCAACTCACACAAGCAAGCAGAGATGGAGTATTTTGAAAATTTTCAAATAAAACCTACCATTCTTTCCTAAGAAATGTTCTCAGAAATTTGAGATCAGCAGGAGTTTCCCTTAACTTTATGAGAATTGTTAATGGAAACTAAGAGCCAACATAGAAATTGAAGGAGTAAGTCTTTACTTAGACAATGAAAATTTTCTCACTCTATCATTACTTCTACTCCGTAATTAGAACCAAAAAGCAGGTGCATGTATATATCTTTTATGCTACAGCATTAATACATAAAACATACATGAAAATAAATTGCAATTGTCTTCTCTGGAGGCTGAGTCAAAGAAGCACAAATTTGAAAGCAGACTTGATTACTAAATAGAATCTGCTTAAATATTAAGAAAAATTGCAGTGTTGGTGATGAAAGGCATAGCCTTTTGCATACTAGCCTAGCACCATGTCATAGAGCTCCAACTCTAGCATCTGAGTTTGAGGAAGAATCTTGATTTAATGTAGGATAGGGCAAGAACTCAATTCTTCCCCCCTCTATTGCCCTACTGCAGGGATTAAAAATATTCCCCAACACTGTTGACACAGTCCTGTTCCTCTACTTTAGTGTTTTCATATCTAATGTAACAAATAAGACCAATGATTATAAAGAAAACATCATTTACAAAATGATCAAACTAAATAATCATGGTCCAACCACTGCACACTGGTCCATCACCACCTATCACAGTCATGGAGGATGGTCCAGGAAGAACTTGATGCTGAAAGTCAACATAAATAATATTATGGAGCAGAACTTTTGGGGAGAACAGTGCAGAGGGTCTCCCAGTGATGAGATAACCCAATATTCTGGACATTTACTTTTATGATCCAATAGGTCCACTAAATTGCATTTCCTCCTACAGCTATACCTTTTTTATACCACACCCAAGGTCAATGTAGGAAGGTAGGCCCAGTTTCTCAATATTCACATCTTATGTAATTTTTTGCTTTTGGAAATGTTTTCATTCATCCTTTCTTCCATCTTAGTAACACAGAATGTCCTGGTTAAAGGGCTTCTGTGGCTCAGTTTCCTGAGAGATGGGACTATTCTACATGATATGACTGTACAGTCTTACCTCTCTTTTTCCAATTTACCTTTAACCCAAACTGTGAAATCTTTCTGTACCCCCAGATTTTACTCTATCTATCATGATGTTTTTGCTGCTCTTCTATGTCCCACTTAGTAACACGCTATTAATCACTAATCTCACCGTGACTTATTTCCTATATTCTCCCTTTATTTCTACTTATACCCACAACATGTAACATGTTAGTATAGAGAGAATGGAGTCTTCCTTTTCTCCATAATACAGTTGGCCCTTAAAAAATGTCTAATGACTGTTTTGAAATCAACTGCTATACTAATTTCATAGAGGTTTTGATGATTGATGATAACTGTCATTGCAAACACAGATCACCTATCAGAGGACCACTGGGAGAAAAGATTGGAGCCCTGAACACAAGCCTAAGAGAAGAAAACATCATTTCAACCCTGCTACAGCCAAGTTTTCCTGAACACTGAAAAAACTCCAAATGAAGGGAGAAAGATGAACACATGACTATCTCCTGAATTAATCCCAAGGAAACACCAAAAGATGAAAGAAATAAGGAAATTGAATCTACATATTAAGATGTAATTTGATAAAGAGATAGATATACAGAAGAAAAACAAAATAAAATGACATAAATTACAGTTTCACAAAGTCAAATACAAATTTCCGTGGAAAGGATCAGAAATAGAGTGGATCACAGAGAAGACAGAAGGTGAGGGAATGAAGGCAAGGCAGAATAATAAGATCATTCAGTCATGAACAGTGATCACTTTGTTAAACATTTCTAAGTTTTGAGTATATAAGAAAAAAGTCTATGACTTCCAGCATAGAGCAATGACAAGAATTCCATGTCAAAGGCATAGAAAATATTATCAATGAAATCATAGAACCGGAGTTCCATGCTGAAAGAATGTCCATCAAGATCCAAAATAGATAAAGAGTATAACACAGATAAAATGACCAGAAAAGAAATGTCCCATTTTACTTTAAAAATGAATGTGAATACACAGAATAAAGAAAGTATACTGGAAGCTTTGAGAAGAACAAAGTCACATATAAAGACACGTCCATGAGCGTAACTCCTGAACATCAAAATGGAAAAACAAATGCCAGGATAGCATAGAAATTTGTATTTCATGTTTGGAAAATAAGAGCTACTAAACAACATATGTACAATACATGGATACATATTAAATTCCTATTTATTATAATCACAGGAGAAAAAGACCTATCCATGATATGTCATGCTATAGAATTTTTCACAATGAATTCTGCTTGCATTACATAATGTAAAGGTTGGATTGGACAGAAGAAAAAAGTAAATACAGACAAGGGGCTAGAGGAAAAATAATGATACTAAGACACCTGTTAAGAAAAGAGGGCCAAGACAATACCAGACAGGAGAAAAACAATAAAATGTCAGGAATTCTTTCAATAAGAAGTCTGAATATTAAAAGTCTATATTCCTTTATCAAAGGAAACAGACTAAGGCTAAATATAGTGATATATGCTTTAATCTCAACACTCAAGAGCCAGAGGCAGGCAGATCACTATGGAATTCAAAAAAATCTTGTCTCCATAGCCAGTCCTAGACCAGTTAGGAATACATGGAACCTGTCTTTAAATTAAAAGATAAGTAAATATTACACAGACTAGCAGATTGGATTAGCAAGCATAATGCTTTTTCCTTATACTAAGAAATGTACCCAAATACCAAATACCAATGTAGGAAATAAGCATGCATCACTATTCCAATATCAATAAAGCTAGCCACATGGATGTAGAAAATTACTTTATACACTTTAAGAAAACCATTTACCCACACAAAATTGCTACTCGAAATATATATGCATCAATATGTGCACTCCATTTCATAAAACAAATGTTATCAGATATAATGTCACAGAATAAATTCTGCAATATAATTTTGAGTGACTTCTACATCCATTTTTAAAATAAATATACTATCCATAACAAATAACCAGAGAAACATTCAAAATAGATGACATTAATTTAACTTTGATTCAAGTTTCCTTCAAGAGTTGGATGAATGATTCAATATATATAAATGTATAAATCTAAATCATGACATTAATGGCTCAAAGACAGAAATCACATGATTATCTCATAGCTATCAAAAAATACCAAGAATCTGGCAATGATAGATAAACACATGTGATATTAAAATTAAAAGGGTGATAAAAGAACCAGATTGTACAAGAGTGAAGGTAAGATTAGGGAGATATTTGTCTGTTAAGTTAAGAATGGATAAATAAAATGTGGTACATATACACAATGGAGTACTACTCAGCAGATAAAAACAATGACATCATGAGGGTTTGCAGGCAAATGGATGGATCTAGAAAAAAATCATCCTGAGTGAGGTAACCCCGACTCAGAAAGACAAACATGGTATGTACTCACTCATAAGTGGATACTAGATGTAAACCAAAATAACCAGACTGCAACTCACAACTCCAGGGAGGTTACTAGTAAAGAGGACCCTAAGAAAGACACAGGGATCGCACAATGACAGAGAAATGGATGAGATCAACATGAGCAAACTGGATGTAGGGGGGTAATTGAGGGCAAGTATCGGGGGAAAGAGAGCTTAGGAGAGTGGGAGGTCCCACCTGGATCAGGAACATGGTGGGATAACAAGGAAAGAGATACCATGATAAATGAAGACCCCATGGGAATAGGAAGAAGCAAAGTGCTAGAGAGGTCCCCATAAATCCACAAAGATACCTCCACAATAGACTACTGGCAATGGGCAAGAGAAAGCCTGAGCTGACCTACTCTGGTGATCACATGGCTGAACAGCCTAACTGACATGATAGAACTCTCATCTGGTGACTGATGTAAGCAGATGCAGAGATCCATGGCCAAGCCCCAAATGGAGCTCCAGGAGTCCAATAGGCAAGAGAGAGGGGGAATTATATGATTAAGAAATATTGAGACCATGATTGGAAAAGCACAGGGACAAATAGTCAAGCTAGTGGAAATACATGAACTATGAACCAGTAGCTGAGGAGCCCCCATGGAATTGGATCAGGCCCTCTGGATAAGTGAGACAGTTGATTAGCTTGAACTATTCAGGAATCTACCAGGCAGTGGGACCAGGACCTGTCCTTAGTGCATGAGATGGCTTTTTGGAACCTAGGGCCTATGCTGAGACACTTTGCTCAGCCTTAGTGTAGGGAGGAGGAGACTGGACCTGCCTCAACTGAATCTACCAGGCTGTGATGAATCCCCAAGGAGACCTTGCCTTGGAGGAGGTGGGAATGAGGGGTATATTGGGGGGAAGGTTGGGGGGAGGGTGGAAGGAAAGAGGACAGGGGAATCCATGGGTGATATGTAAAATTAAAAAAATTATAAAATAAAATAATAATTAAAAAAGAAAGAAGTTCTGTAAAATAAAATAGCAGCACTTAACAAAAAAAGATGAGGGAGATAATAATTGTGTATGGATATGCTATGAGGAACCTCTTTACGTTGTATGCTAATTAAAAGAAATCTAAGATCTTAATATAGTTGAAAATAGACTGCATACCTTGAGAGAAAGCCAATGGATTGAAAAAATCAATTACAAAAAGCTTTCTGGTGTTTCTCACAAAGGGATCCTGGGGATTGTTGAGGGAATCCACCTTCACTCCAAATAAGGTACCAGTGATCACATCCATGCTGTAGGCCCCAAAGATGCTGAGTAGAGAAATATGGGAGTTAATGTGTTACTCTCACAACCTCTGAGGTATGTGACAATTTGTCTGCAGTAATATCAGCACAGCCTGAGTTTACAACCATGGTGTTTTCAGCATGATTTTACTACCCACACCATTTCCAGAAACTTCTCCCTTTTTAGTTAGATAAAAGAGAGGCAAAAGAAATTTATTTCTTGCTGGTATTTTTCTAAGACACTCAGCAAAACCTCATGATTTACATTGTTGAAATTTACATCTATAATATTCTTGCCAAACCAATGACCTCTGATGTAGCACATAAATCCTCCTCCCATGTTTCTTAATCCCCATATCTGCAGCTTTCCTAAATTTTACTCTTTCGTTCTAAACTACATAACTGTCTTCTAAAACATACAAGATGACAACAGGTAACCTAATTTTGTATCACGTACACAAGGGAGAGAATCTCAAATGTTATTGTGGGAAATTTTACTTAATGTGTGGTTCACAGCAGGGTAACATCATGCCTCTCCCTTACTCTTGATCTGCAATAATTTTAGCTACCTGTGAGACAGAGGGAGGTCTCCAGATGGGATACAGAGTCCCCAGGGAATGCATGCATCACTACTCACTCTTTCATGGTAACACTCTTGCCCTTCTCTACTTCCCGACTCATGTTTTTCACCAGCACATCTCCATACTCTTGGATGATGTGGAACATCTAAGCACAAAGCACAACATAGTCTCCTGGAAAATGGCAACATCTGAGTCCCCAAATAACAAGTCTTTTGAAATTATAAAAAGATCATCATTTTTAAAAGTACTATATAAGACAAAATAACAACAACAAAACAAAAAAGGACCACCACTAGCAGTGTAATGAACAAAGCAACAGCTCTTTAAATAGTGTGATATTATTTCTACCAGTCCTCTGATAGATTCTGTTACATTTACAATAAAATGTTCTTCATTAACTTACATCCTTCAGTTTTCCACTGCTAAAGGTTGGTGTCAGCAATGATCGAATTCTTTTCCATTCTTCATTCTCAGATCTTACTATACCTTTTTTCATAAATCCAGGTGGACCAATAGACTAAAATATCAAGAAAAATAGATTTTTTCTCCATTAGATTTTTTATCTTAACAGTTATAAAACCTGTATGAAATAGACAATATTTCTTAACAGCTACTAACCCTCTTCTAGGTGGCAGATTTCATGCTATTTCCTCAAACTGGAGCTGGAACAATGGCTCAGTGGTTAACACCACTTGCTCCTCTTGTAGAGGACTCTGGTTCAATTCCCAGCAACCACATTAGGTGGTTCACAACTGCCAGTAACTGCAATTCGGAGTATCTGATGCCCTCTTCTGTTCTCTGTGAGTACTTGCACACATGCAGTACACATACATACACAGGCACACATATGTGATAAATAAAATATGTAAAATGCCTCCAAATTAAAGATACATACAGCCATCTGTGTGGGATAAAGCTATTGTTTTACAATCTTCATTTCAATATGATTTCCTCTGTAGAAAAAAAATATGTCTTTCTATGTGAAAAGACAGGTAGGAAACTGCTGTGGGATGGTCTGTATGTCAAGTGTGTTGCTGATTGGTCAATAAATGAATCACTGATTGGCCATTGGCTAAGAAGGAAGTATAGGCAGGACAAGGAGGAGAATAAAGCTGGGAAGTGGAAGGCTGAGTCAGAGAGACACTACCAGCTGCCACGATGAGAAACAGCATAAGATGCCAGTAAGCCACGAGCCATGTGGCAAGGTATAGATTAATAGATATGGATTAATTTAAGCTATAAGAACAGTTAGCAAGAAGCCTGCCATGGCCATACAGTTTATAAGCAATATAAGTCTCTGTGTTTACTTGATCGGGTCTGAGTGGCTGTGGGACTGGCAGGTGAGAGAGATTTGTCCTGAGAGTGGGCCAGGCAGGAAAAGTCTAGCTACAAATGGCGTCCAACGTGGTGGCAAGAGTTTCCACCTAAAAACTGAGAGAAAAGATTCTAAAACGGAGCTAAAAACAGTTCCTAATTGTCTCTCTCAAATGAGTGGCAGCTGCCAGTTTGAGCTACTTGTGGGTTCCTGGCATGCGCGCTTGAACTGCTGTATGGTGGGAATGAGGCCTCTGCAAGTGGCACATTAAGTTGCATGGTGGATTTAGCCTTTCCTAGTACAAAACAAAAAAAGAGGTTTTTTTGGGCTACACGCTGCTTGGATAAAAGCATAGACCCAGGATAGCTCCCAGAGCTGACAAACTACCACCGCCATGTTGGGAAGCTGAGGTGGGCGGAGCCAGCAGCCATAGCTGCTGGAGTTTAAAGCAATAGATTCACAATAAGACAGATTCAGATGTAATAGTTTACAATGTATGTAAAATATACATAGGCTTTAAAGAGACAAAAAAGGTGATATATACAGTTATAGAAACAAATACATAGTTTTAAAAAATAAAGTCTTTAAAGAGACAGTAAAATTAATATAAAAAATAAGCCACGTAAAGATGAATATTACACAGAGAATCTGGATTGTGTTGTCTTTGGGATTTTTAACTGCAGAAAAACATTTGATTGTAAAAGCTGTTGAGTTATGCCAAAATGTATATTTTAAAGGTACCTTGACTTCAAAATTTGGATGTAAGGATGTGTTGCTTTGGAAAGGAGACTCTGCTTTTGTTCCCACAGAAAGGCAAAGGCTATGGATTTGTTCCAGATTAAGATACATCAGGTTTGACCAGCCAAGACCCCCTGAAAGGTCTCCGATGATACCATGGCCCAGATGATCCAACATCCAGAATGGTTTGAAGGCAATCAGCTCAGATGATACACCCTCATGGACTATTCCATAATTCTAAAATTTTCTTTGTATCCCCATAAGATACAGTGCCCCCCTCCAGCAGGAAGTAGTAAGAGAAGCTAAGCCCAAATTCCCAAATTATATGTAATTTTACTTTGTTAAGGTTAAAACCTTCCTTTTTGAAAAAAAAAGAAAATGGGAAGTGCTATGGGATGGTCTGTATGTCACATGTGTTGCTGATTGGTCAATAAATAAATCACTGATTGGCCATTGGCAGGAAGTATAGGCAGGACAAGGAGGAGAATAAAGCTGGGAAGTGGAAGGCTGAGTCAGAGAGACACTGCCAGCTGCCATGATGAGAAACAGCATATGAAGATGCCGGTAAGCCACAAGCCACATGGCAAGGTATAGATTAATAGAAATGGATTAATTTAAGCTATAAGAACAGTTAGCAAGAAGCTTGCCACGGCCATACAGTTTATAAGCAATTTAAGTCTCTGTGTTTACTTGGTCGGGTCTGAGTGACTGTGGGCCAGGCAGGAAAACTCTAGCTACAGGAAACCAAAAGTATTCTCCAAGTCAGTACAGAAAAAGTAGGTTTCTTAGGTTTATATTGTTGTGATAAAGACAATGAACAAAAGCAACTTGTGATGTAGAAGGTTTATTAATCTTCCAACTCTCAGGTCACAGTCTGTTACTGAGAGAAGTTAAGGCAGGAAACAAGGCAGGAACCTGAAGGCAGGAACTGAAGCCAAACCTATGGAGGAATGCCACTTACTGGCTTGCTCACCATGGTTGCTCAGCCTAGTTTCAAATACAACCCAGGACTGACTGCCCAGGTTTGGCACCAACCACAGTGAGTTGAGCTCAGTAACTAATGAAGAAAGTGCCCCACAGCCTTTCTACATGTAAGCTGATGGATGCATTTCTCAACTGAGGTTTTTCTTGCTCACTATGTCTACCTATGGTTCATGTTGCCAAAATGCAACAAGAACAATAGAGTACATATAGGAGGGCTGATGGGTGATATTGTTCTGCATGCTGTAAATGTGTTGCTCTGACTGGTTGATAAATAAAATTCTGATTGGCCAGTAGTCAGACAGGAAGTATAGGCAGGATAAGCAGACAAGGAGAATGCTGGGATGAGGAAGGCTGAGTCAGGGGACACCACTTGAAACACGTGACAACACATAGATGAACAGAAATGGGCTGAGTTTAAGTGTAAGAGACAGTCAGTGGTAGGCCTGAGATAATGACTGAGCAGTTTTAATTAAATTAAGCCTCTGTGTGTTCACTTGGGTCTGAGAAGTCACATACTAGGAGGGACACAAGAAAATTTTCAGCAGCAGAGGGCTATATTGGTTAACTTTTCCTTAGACCAGCTTTGCACTTACAAGTACCTTCAGCCCAAGCTATTTTGAAAAGAAGTGACATGAAATAATAATCATTAAATTATCGCAAATACTGAAGGACTAGGTATTATTAGTCTGAGCATTAACTGAATATCATGGAAATATCTCTCCTTGATTGTGTATTCTGAAATATAAGCAAAAGACCACTGTAATTCTCTTTTCCCAATGGAAAGTTCCTTCCACCATATGCCCCTATATTTGGTTCTAACTTGAACATTTCAATAGCATTTTTCCATGTATATCTGTAACACATCTGTACTAAAGATGTGCAGTGCCTGAAGTGCCCAGAAGAGGACATCAGGTCCAATGAGATTTGATTTAGAGATGAGTTTCAGTACCACTTGGATAGTAGGAATTGAACCCTGGTCTTCCCTGATAGAAGTTAGTTTTCTTAATGCCTGAGCCATCTCTCCATATGCAGTATTTTAAAACTGATAAAAGCATGTCATAAGCACTAGTGTACAAAACTACTGTTTGTAGCAGGAATCTCTAAAGGTTTTATTAATAAAATCCTCAGGATCCAGGTATTGGGGTAAATGCTGAAAGATCAGAGAAACAGAACAAGCCACAGATAACCTCACCTCACCAACTTCTCAGCTGATCTTGTTTCCTCAGACTGAAAGCCTCTGAGTCCTCATCCAAATGGATTTCAGCTAAATTGCTTCTAAATACTAAAAGCTTAAAAAGGCTCTAGTTCCTGGTCCTCACAGCTTATATACCATTCTGCCTCCTGCCACCACTTTCTGGGATTAAAGGCATGTGTCACCATGCCTGACTTTTTCCAGTGTAGCTTTGAACTCACAAAGATCTAGATAGATCTCTGCCTCCAGAATGCTAGGATTAAAGGTGTATGTACCACCATTTTCTGGCCTCTAGCTTGTGACTGTTCTGTTGTCTGAGTCAAGATAAGTTTATTAGTGTGCACAATATATTGGGGAACACAATATCACCACAACTGCTGTTGCTACAAAATGGAATATGATGGCAATCTAATTGCCTTCTAGATTCTTATGTTTATACCCTCAGATCACTGTTCAGTTTTTGTCTTAGAAGTTTCATTTATCGCCTCTGTGACACCAGTGAAAACTGGAGACATAAACACACACTGCACAGATTGGGAATAGGTAAAGCCCTGTCTTCAGACTGGGCAGACCCCAGGAGCACACCCCGTGCCCATCCCCCAAGCCATTGGAGCCTCAGGGACCAGCTAGCTGCCTCTTCACCTGCCCCCTGGCCAAAAAAAAAAAAAAAAAAAAGCTCCCAATGACACCAGTGAAAACCGGAGACATAAGGGAATAGCTGTTTCCAGAGATAGAGCTTACTGCGGCCCATTGGATTAAGATCTGTGCCTTCAGACACAGAACCCATCAGCACCAATTGCACCAGGAGCCCAGATTAGACCAAGAGCTCTCATTAAACCAAAAGTGTCAATGGGGCAAAAAGAGGCTCCCTCAGACATAGACAGCACTTGCATGGAGTGTTGGAAGAGATGGGTAGATACCAGTGCAAAAATCCAGTCAACAACATAAAGAGCAATATGGTACCATCAGAGCCTCATGGTGCCACACCAGCAAGACCTGAACATCTCAAAGCAGAAGACATAGACCTTAAAAATGACTTGAGGAAGATGATAGAAGCCTTTAAAGACGAAATGAAAACTATCCTTGAAGAATTCGAAGAAAAGACAAACAAAATAATTGGAAAAAATCAATAAATCTCTTAAAGAAAGCCAAGAAAAAGCATTTAAATCGGTGAATGAAAAAGTCCAAGATTTGAAAACTGAAATAGAGGCAATTAAGAAGACACAAACTGAGGGAAGGCTGGGAATGGAAAATCTGAATAAATGAGCAGGAACTACAGATGCAAGCA